ATCCGGCAATGGTCCAATCAAATTACAATTTATACAAGAAAGATTGGTCAATTGAGCAGAATTTTGCAAAGCCTTGGGGAATGACCAGCCTGTACTAGCATTAAAATTGTTGTGATCCAATGCTAAGACTTGCAAATTATCTAAACCATCAAAGAATTCAGCCGGAATAGAATCAAAATTGTTGTAATCCAAATACGCATACACCAAGTTTGATAAGCCACTAAAAGAAGGCAACTTTCCACTCAACTGATTCTTTTGGAGACCAATGTTCTTGAGCATGGAGAGCTTGTTCAAGTTTTGAGGCAAAGTACCCTTCAAGCCCACAACTTGAGCCTGAATCTGAGTAACCCTGGACTTATCACAAACCACGTGGTTCCAGCTTGGAGGACCGCAAGGGTCATCACCATTTTCAGGCCACTTCAAGAGCTCAGGATTCTCAAGTCCATCTCTGAATTGCATTAAAATATCAAGGTCACCAGGGTCAGTGGCGCTAAAAACCACTCTAACAAGAGATAAAAGAAGCACAAAAGCAAACTTCTTTCTCATTGCAGATATTTGGTGCTGCACTGGACTGGATCACCCCAACTCCTATAAAAGAAGCTTCATTTGAGCACCAATGGTGGTTTCTTCAAATACCCACATCAAATCTTGCATCAAACATTGAGAAAAAAACAGACTTTAGATTCCAGGAATACTGAGAGACATTGACGAAACACGAGAATCCTTGAAAACAAGGGAAAAGAACATGGAAAAAAAAGAAGAGTTCAAGCTTTAGGAGCAATAGAGCACCAAAGCCAGATCTTTGGCATGAAAAACAATTCAAAAGACTGGATCAAAGCAGAAGAATTTGAGCCAAACTGAAACAAAATGGAGAAAATGAAACTTGGACCATACCTTAAAAAGTGACTGTCTGAATTATCATTATAAATAGTATATATCATCATCAAGATTCTGGAAAAAGCAGGTTACTTTCATCTGCCACACAGCATACCAGACATTTCCTTTCCACTCTCACTTGCTTATCAAGAAGTGCAAAAGGACAAGGGTAATACTGTCATTTGGACAGGTTGTGGCATGCAGGTGTGACAATATTTTAACATTTGTGGTTTGATCATCAAAGAAAAGTGGTACTCCTAATACTTGTGGTTTGTTTAACGCAAACAGACAGGATTAGCAGATTGATTTTATAGCAACAATTAAGCTGGTGGGTCAATTTTGTTGAGTAGAATCATCCATTTCTCTGCTGCTTTGATTTCCGTGACCTGCTGGCTTCTCCCTGGTAGAACCTCCTCTTCAAATTCTCCTGTGGAAGATAAAATAACCTCTGTTTTCTTTTTTCCAAGACATTTTACAGTTTCAGCATAGATTCTCTTTCCTAGAAAAAAAAACATTCATATATTCATAAAATGTAGAAATGTAAATTTTACATTGAATTTATTGATTTTATTTTGATTAATATATAAGAAATAATTAATTTAGTCGTCTCTTTCATTGTTGAATCCGGGCTAGGTCAGATCAAGTTCTTACAACCGATATCCATAATTTGTCATTCATGGATCTTGGTTAGTCAAAATGGACTTTGGTTAGTTCCTCGTTAGACATTAAAAAAAAGAACATATGATAATTATTCTAACGGATAATGGTATCCTTATAAATAATAAATTAATCAAATTATTTTTAAAAAAATTGTAGATATTTGATTTTGATTTATAACTTTTTATTTTTTGAAGGTTGTTTTACCATAATTATATTGTTGTACATATAGCAGTTATTTTGTTATATTGTGAACAACAGTGAAAGTAACTTAAAATAAGTGTTAGGTTCACATGTTAATTTGACTCTTAATATAGTTTAAAGAATTTGATTCAGTGACTTAGATATTAAAGTAGATTAAGAGATTTTAGTTTTAACTTTTCGTTAATGATTCCTCCCATTACATGCATATTACTCTTAATAAGAGTTTTCAATATGCACATGTGACTCTCAAGTAGCCATTTTTACCATGCGCATGTTAAGCAAGTACTGTTTCCCGGAGCATATATAGTGGCTATTACAATTTATCTAGTACATCTCGAGAACTCAATATACTCTTTTCTAAGATATTTTTAAATATGTTTTTTCTTAATTAGTTACCATTTTGCTCTGTAGTACGGTACACACTAATTTTTATGAAATATTATCCACTTTAACCCGTTGATGTCATGATTTTATTTCACAAAAAACGTCTTATAAGTTGAAGATGGTGTAAACTTTTAAAAGTGTAAACCCTTAAATATCAAGTATTACTCTAATACCCAATCGATGTGGGATTCATAACCCCCTTTAGAACTATAACATTCTTCTTTTGCTCTCCTCTAGGGGCTTCTTTTCAATGTGAGATTTATGACTGTACTAGTTGGGAACATATCTCTTTGATGTGGAATTGACATGGTTCATATTAGAACCGTGATATTCCGTCATTACACTTGTTCTATTTTTTTCTAAGTTTTATCTATTATCACTTGTTACCATACTCAGTACTTTAAAGACGATAAAATAATTCAAAAGTTAAAATAAAAATAAAGAGAGAAAGTTACTTTTTTTTTAAGCAATTTGATGCACTTTAGAAATCATATTCAGATTATATGTAATAATAAGAACAATATTCAGAGAAGAAACAAATTAAGGATGTCAACGGGTAAGGTATTTGCTAATTTTGAGATGCTTGTACTCTAACCTGATTAAAAAATAGAGTACCCGAGCTCGATTATTACTCAATTTTTTTAAAATTTACTACACTAATTCAAACCTTAATACATACTCACTGTCCAATAATTACCCGAATCCATTTAAAAATCCAAGTATGTAAAAAAAATTATTAAAATACTCTTCATGGATACCCAGTTATCCAAACTCGAATTTATACCTGTATTTATATACAATAATACTTCCATTCATATTGTATATAATTCACCAATAATCAAATTTATAAAAGCACATAAATAATAAAATTTAAATAATCAAAAATAAATCTCTCAAATATCAACTTAAATAATTAAAAATAAATATTCAAACAACAACTTAAACATTACAAATTTAATTACTTATATAGATTTGAACATAAAATTAAAACAAATAATTATATTCCAAAATTATTCTAATCTTACAATTTTTTTTAGGTATATATTTTATAAGTTTATATACACAAGGTATCTATTATAAACAATAATTTTATAAATTATAATTTCTATAATGTTAACAGAAAATAGAAAGTAAATATATTTATATTTAAAGTATATAAACTCAAAGTATATATATAATAGTAATTGTATTCTTTATAAATTAATACAATATATAAAATATATGTATTAAAAGATATTACAAGTTAATTAATAATCATAGTTTTATGAATTAATTTAATTAATACTATAAATTTATCTTTAATTACATAAAATTTAAAATATAAATATAATCGGATTCGAGTATCGAGTATCTAAGGAGTAGGACTCGAACCTGATACAAGTAATAAAATTATTATCCAAATCCGTTTATAGGGTACTCTAATTTTATATAACTGAATCGAATATATGTAAGTACTTTATAATAGGATACTAAATAATACTCCTAAAATAGATAAGCTGAAGTACACACAAAGGCCTAAATATTTAGTACTGTACTAAAGTATACAGAGGCCATCTCAGTTCCTCCAAATTTATTACTGTTGGCTTCTTGGATGGGAAGAAACGAGATGCTCTATTTTAGTCTTTGTAGTAATTTAACTATGTTAGGCAAGAAAGCAAAAGACATTGAAGGGTGGAAAGGTACTTGTGCAGAAGAAAGGAAAAAGTTAAAAAAAAGGTTTTTCCTTAACCAAGAAATGATGGCAGAGGGTAGATGGTACTACTTTAAAGCTCCATATCAGGTGCCCTTGGCCTTAGGGCATCTGTTTGCAAGGCCACAAACCTTGAAGGAGATGTGTTTTCTCTGTCTGGGTTTTCTTTCTTTTTCCTTTTGTTTGGAGGATTACTTGGGGTTGAAACCATAATTGTGAATTTATGGTATGAGAAATTCTTTTCAAATTTTCATGGAGAAGTTGGTTATCATTCCTAAATGAGTTCTATATTTTTCTCAATCAATCTTCACATTTTCCTTAATCACCTGTTTGTAAATTGGACAGAGAAGAGCGAAATGAGATTTATGAGATGGGAAAGGATTAACTTTTGTGTAAAAACTGAAAATTAAAATGCTGGGAAGAAAAGTTTCATATCTTTCAAAATTTTCAATTGTAGCAACAGGGTATACAAAAATATATTCTTGACTCATTATTTAACATGTCACACATGCACAATAGTGGAGTGACATGATAAGGCCAAAATGGCATCTGTTTTCCAACTCATTAGCAGCATGTGATCATTCCAGATTTCCTTAATCTTGCAAAGATGTGATCAACCACTTAAATTGTCTTTTTAATATTCTTCATCCTATCCATCGTTAATTTGGTAGTCATTGGACAAATTCTTGAAGTAAGTTATTTTATTTATGGGTTATTAATTCCTATACATTATCAGATTAATTGGTACATCATTGATCTATTTACTCGTGCAACAAGGATATATAATTAATTCTATAATAAGATATTAAGATTAAATTTGATTTTATTCCGTCAGATTTGGATCTAGAGATTGTTAATCTGTTGACTTTTCCATGGTGAAGAGTATAATAAATGAGAATGAGATGCCATTAACAGTGCTTAATCAATGTGACAGCTTCCAACCACACAGAGTGAAAGGTAAGAGAAGACTGGATTTAGACAGTGAAACTAATAATAAAGAAAGTGCCAAATTAAGCACAAGAATGAAGAATCCAACTGTTAATTAGTTGGAAACTTGAATCTAGGCAGATTTGATTTGATTTGATTAAGAAAGAATACTTATAAAAACCATTGCTTTAGATCGACTATATATGACTCATCTTTCACAAGCCCTTTTGTGCTCTTTCTATCTATATGCAGTCACATGCAATTAACATAATAATTGCACCAACTTAAAGCTGATGGAGATATATATATATACACACACACACACTTTTCTTCTGATCATGATCTTTCTTCCAAAACCCCAAACTATGCCAATTAAAGCTAAATTAAAATTATAGTACTTCCATTTTTTTATCTCATGATATATTACAATTATTTGAATGTACATATCACAATGTATTGTATATAGCTAACATGACATAAACTTAACTTAAAAAAGTACTTAAATATTTGATTGATAATAGGTCAATTAACATTATGAGATTTTTTATTTTGATTATTTAATTTTACAAAAATTGTTTTAATTATTAATATTTATAAGTGTTTTTATTTTGATTACTCAAATAATAACGAATCTCCCATTTGACATCCCACATTACCAGTAATTGTTTTGTTAACTATGTTGACATGTTCACATAATGAGATTAAATAATGTAATGGTGCTGTGAAATGTCAGGTGAAAAATTGGTTACTTATAGTTATTGAATGATTAAAATAATAATATTTATAAATGTTAATATCAAATTGAGTGATGAGAATAAAAATTTTTAAAAAAATTAAGTGATCAATAAAATAATTTATTCATTTGATGTGAGGTGCATGTACTTACCAATATTGTGTTCATATGAGAAATGATTTTTAATCATCTATTGAGATTTAATTCATTTTTTTTCCATAATGCCTTCAACTAGATTGGACCAAACCCTAGGCAAAAGGTCAAAGCCAACTGAAGCAACTAAGCGAGACTTGGGTGGTTCAATAGGCCAATATATACTTAGAAATGCATATGTTTTTTCAATATGGTAAAAGGGAGGCATGAATCCAGCGCAGAGAAAGTCGAGTATTCAGAAATCATAACATGGGACTTGGAAAGTAATGTCCTTTTCGTTATTCAATCACTAATGTAAATTGTGGTTTGGTATGGATTGATGAACTAGGCAATATTCAATCACTAATGTCTTTTTTCTTTTTCTTTTTTTTTTTAATTTTTTTAAAAAAATCGAACTCTATTCTTTACGTAATGATTGTGCATCAACTAATGCTCAGATGCATGCATTATATATATTTAAATCTAAATAAACAAGGAGGATAGTTCTGTTGGTGCCTTAGTAAGGACAACTAACTTAATTATTATTAATTAATAATGCAAAGTCAGTTACCAAATTTTTTTATTTGCGTACCAAAGACTAGTCATCATAAATTGAA